CCCCAGCCCCTTGAGAGAATCAATTTTTAAGACTAAACCTAACCATGGAAATTTTAGGAAATAATAATGGAGGATTAACCCTATCAGACATCAGAAACACACTATAAAGCTATAGTAAATAAAACATTGGCATAGGAATAGAAATAGATGAACAGTACATAAGAATCCAAAAGCAGCCCTGGCTGTGTGCTCAGTTGGTTAGAGTGTCATCCTGATACACCAAGGTTGCAGGTTCGATCCCCAGTCAGGGCACATAAAAGAACCAGTGAATTCATGAATAAGTGGAACAACAAAATTGGCGTTTCTCCCTCTCTCTTCCCCCCTCCCTCCCTCCCGCTCTCTCTCTCGAAAATCAATCAATAAAATTAAAAAATATATATACTGAATCCATTGAAAAACAAAATCCTAAAACAAACTCATGTATATGTGTGACTGTGAAGTATAAGAAAGGTGGTAGTTTAGATTCCAAGATGGCAGCAGATTGAGTGGAAGCTACACTGACACTCTCCCAGGACGAAACTGGAATTACAACTAAAATATAGCAAAACCATCCTGAATAATTGACTGCAACTGAGACGAGCTGGAGAGCACCCTCATAACCAAGGAGGAAGAGTGGAGACCACATAGAGACTGGTAGGAAGTGCGGAGGCACAAGAGGACTGGCTGGACTCCCATAGGCAGCAGCTGAAAGTCCAGAGGGAGATCTCAGCTGTGGGGGTTTCCCACTGAGAACTCTGGGGTCTAAACCGCAAGCTGGGCTTCCCAGCCTAGAGCAGCAGAACTAAGAAAGGTGTCCACATCTGGCTGTGAAAAGCAGCTGGGTTTCTGTCTGCCTGGGAGAGACAGCTGGAAATGCAGGAACCCTCTTAAAGGGCCAATGCACAAAGTTTCATGGGCAGCCACTCACCCTGGACTCCAGCAGAGGGAGGGCAGAGTGGACCAGAGCAGTGTGAGAAGAATCTTGGGTTTGGGGCACTGGAAACAGAGCTCAGAGGGCAGCCATCTGAATTCCTGTGCTGAGTCATTCCCCTATTCTGCAGAGGATGTCTCTTTCAAGTGGACCTTTGTCAGACATGCAGCTTTTGCCTAGGTGGGAGAAGCAATTGCCCCACTGACTGGAAAACCTCTTGCTCCTCTCAGTGGAGTTTACACCCTGCTATGGTCTACAGCGTGAGGCTCATTAAGAGACTAAGATCAATCACCTTGTAGGCAGAGGTGGACTTCTGGGAACTATGAGTCTTTGCCTGATTTGTTTCTGGACCCAGGCTTTGGAAAAGCAGACTTTGGTGTGCATCTTGGTCCTGGACAAACACACCCAGCCGCAGCATAGGGAACAACAAGCCAGCCCAGCAGAAGGAACCACAAGCCATGGCTTGTGGATAGCGTAAACGGGGTACTCAAGGCCAGTTACAAACAGCATCTGACATTGGCCTGCACCAGAGACCCTCCAAAAGACTGAGAGTCCTAGCAGATCCACCTAATACATAGAAACAAACCCAAATAGGCAGACAGAATAGGGAGACAAAAACCAAGCCCCAAATGAAACAATAAGCTCCAGAAAAAGAGCTAAATGAAATGGAGTTAAGCAACCTATCAGATATAGAGCTCAAAATACTGATTGTAAGGATGCTTAACAACATGAGAAAAGATATAGAAACTGTGAAGGATGACATAGCAGAAATAAAGAATACATTGGAAGGAATAAACAGCAGATTAGAGGAAGCTGAGGATCAGATCAGCAAATTAGAAGACAGGCTAGAAAAATCACTCAATTAGAGAACCAAAAAAACCAAAAAACAGGAGGACAGTCTAAGGGAGCTGTGGGACAACATTAAACATAACAATATTCACATCATAGGAGTTCCAGAAGGGGAAGAGAATAAACAAGGGATAGAGAATTTGTTTGAAGAAATAATGGCAGAAAACTTCCCTAACCTGGTCAAAGAAAAAGTCACACAAGTTCAGGAGGCATAGAGAGTCCCAAGCAAGAAGAACCTAAAGAGGCCCGTACCCAGACACATCAGAATTAAAATGCCAAAAATTCAGTACAAAGAGAGAATCTTAAAGGCAGCAAGAGAAAAGCAATGTGTTACCTACAAAGGAGCTCCCATAGGCTGTCAGCTGGTTCCTCATCAGAAACTCTACAGGCCAGAAGGGAATGGCGTGAAGTACTCAAGGTAATGCAAAACAAGGATCTGAAACCAGGACTACTCTCTCCAGCAAGGCTATCATTCAAAATGGTGAAATAAAGAACTCAGACCTAAAAAAAAAGGCTAAAGGGGTTTATCACTGCCAGAGCAGCACTGCAGGAAATGTTAAAGGAACTGCTGTAATAATAAGAAGAAAAAGAGAGAGAAACATAGGCATAAAGAATTAAAATGGCAATATATGAGGACCTATGGATAATAACCTTAAGGACTTTAAGGGAGAGATCAACAGCAATACAGTCATAGTCAGGGACTTTAACACCCCACTGACTTCAACACAGAAACAGTAACACTAGATCAGATGGATTTAATTGACATTTACAGAACATTTCACCCCAAAGCTGCATAATATACATTCCTCTCAAGTGCACATGGGTCATTCTCAAAGACAGACCACATATTAGGACATAAAACAAGTCTCTACAAGTTCAAGAAGGTTGAAATCGTATCAAGCATCTCAGATCACAATGGCATGAAATTAGACATCAACTATAGTAAAAACACTCAAAATTATTCAAACACATGGAGGCTAAATATTATGTTATTAAACAATGAATGGGTTACCAATAAGATCAAGAAAGAAATCAAAAGCTTCCTGGAAACAAATGAAAATGAACACACAACAACCCAAAATCTATGGGACACAGCGAAAGCAGTACTAGAGGGAAGTTCATAGCACTACAAGCCTATCTCAAAACGCAAGAAAAGTTTTTAGTAAACTGTGTAAGCCTACAACTTAAAGAATTAGAAGGCTCCCGTGTGAGGCCGTCCGGACCAGGGCTTTTGTTGGCTGGGAGTTTTTTTTATTGCTGCTTCGATTTCATCAGTTGTTATTGGCCTATTCAGGTTTTCTGATTCTTCCTGATTCAGTTTTACATGATCTCACTCGTGTGTGGAATCTAATAAATGAAAGAGACTGAGGAACAAAATAGATCCAGAGACATAGAAGCAGGGAACAGACAGGGATCTCAGAGGAAAGGCGGGGGTGAGGGAGTGGGTGGGGAGAGATTAATCAAAGAACTTATATGCATATATGCATAACCCATGGACACAGACAATAGTGTGGTGAAGGCCTGGGGCGGGGGCAGATTCGGGGTGGAGGGGATCAATGGGGGGAAAAAGGAGATATCTAATACTTTCAACAATAAAGATAAAAAAAAGAAAGGTATTATTTTAAATGATTTGAGATAGAATGGGTTGTGTTATGATTGACTAGCCATTTGAGAAAATTAGGTCTATGCCTCAATCATATGCATACATGAATTTCAAATTAATTAATCTGTTAATATGAAAATAAAGCTATGCAAGTACTATTTTTAAAAGTGGGAGAAATATTTAATACTTTTAGGATAGTTAGGTGTTTCTTAGCATAAGAAAGTTAAAAGTTATAATGGGGAAAATGTGATAGTTACTGTAAACAAAGTTAAAAGAGTAATGGACTGCCAAAAATTATATATATATATGTAACCATGTTACTCTCCAGTCAAAGAGCTGTTACATATCAAGAAAAGAAAACTGAGCAAAGAAGATCGGCAGGTCTTTCCTGGCCTCCATACTTACAATTGCTACACCGGCTCCCCCACACTCCCCATCCTCTCCCGTCTTTTCCTCTGAATACCTACTTTCTGACATACTGCATACCTTACTTACTTTGCTCTCTATTTCTCCCTACTAAAATAGAAGCTCTATGAAGACAGAGTTTTTTGTACATGTTTATTGAGGAACTGTAAAAGCAAAGAATTTGAAAACAAACTCTTTTTGCCTTACAGCATTTTAAAGCTGTAGCTGATGGGAAATGTCTGGAGAACTGAGTAGATAGAGTATAGTACATTCAGTGAAATGCGTATACAATGGAATCTTATTTGGCCTTATTTTGCCCTGATATGGAGAAATATCAATGACTTGTTAAGTGAAAAAAGGAAATTGCAGAACTATATACACTCTGATTTTTTTAAAAAAGAACAAAAATATTTTAAGAAGCTAATTGTTTTTAAACTTACCATATAACTTGTTTAGATCCGTAGCCCATCATCTGAGATGTTATGTCCAGTTTTTCTGTTCCTTTGGTGTCCAAGGACCATTAGGCCTTTTAATACCAAGTAATTATCAATATTTGGACATAGCCTAGTAGTATTAGTTTCTTTTTCACAAATACACACAGGAAGATAGCATGGCAGTATATTTTACTTATAAATCTTTTGGTTCTGTTAGATTATCTGCTACTTTGGTGGTTAATAAATATGACCGATTCCATTTCACTGATCAGAGAGAAAAATAAGCATGTTGTACTGTTTGCTAGGGCTGCCATAACAAATGACTGCCTCCTTGTATCTTCACATGGTCTTCCCTCTGTATGTGTCCGTGTCTTAATTTTCTTATAAGGATACCAGTCCTACAGGATTAGGGTCCGATGTCATGACCTCATTTTACCTTAATTATCTCCTTTAACATTGTATCTCCAAGCACAGTCATGTTCTGACGTACTGGGGTTGGGACTTCAACATATGGATTTTGGGGGAATACCATTTAGCCCATAATACATATGATTTATGGTAGGAGCTCTTTTTTCTTCAGAGAGAGAGAGAGTTCAGCCTTCTGACCTTGGTGTCTCCTTGCCCCTCCTAGGTGAGCCTGCCCACGGCAGAGATTGACTGCAGCCTGGCAGAGTACATCGACATGATCTGTGGTGAGCTCTTCCATCCCTCTTCTATCTCCATCTCTGGAGAAACAAACTGTGGGCATTTGAAAAGGCCTCTTTTCTCTGGGAAGGTGGCGTCCTAGGTTACACCTGTCACTCTAAGCCACTTGTGCTGTTGGCAGCACTCTAGGGTGGTGATTGGGCTCGTGCCACTCCCTGTGGGTATTTAAGTCCCGAAGCCATAGTAACACATCCCGTCTGGGAGGGGATTGGCTTTCCTAAACGGAAATGCCCCGTAAGCCCTAGATTTGTGTTTGGTTCTGCTCATGGGAGTTCTTGCTTTCAGCTATCCTAGACATTCCTATCTACAAGAGCCGGATTCAGTCCCTCCACCTGCTCTTTTCCCTCTACTCGGAATTCAAGAACTCACAGGTAAGTAGCATTAGAGGTGACTTGAGCTGCATTGGGGATTCCTGCAGCCTCCATTGTTGAGTAGGCTATGATCGTGTCCTGTGACAATGGAAGATGTCTCTGCCCAGAGTTACCATTTCCCTTCCCCATAATTAAGAGAGCTGCAAATCAGGCAGGGGTGGGGCCTTTAAAGAAAAGAAAGCAGAGATGTGGGCCTTAGATGAGGTTAGGTAAGGATCTACAGAGGCCGTTCATTCTTACAGGAGAACTAAGTGTCCTAATGAATGGAGGCAGGAAGGAAAGGAAGAAGGGGTTTATTTTTGTAGGAAGTAGGACAGATTTCTAGCTGTTTTTCAAAGACAACACCAAGGAATTGTTTTAAAAGTAGAATTGGGAGAAAATTGGAGCTCAGAGGGTTGTAAAGTGGTTAGTTTTTGCTAAAATGTAGCAACTAGCATATCCCAAATACTCCATGTTCCCTCTCTTTCCTCACAGCATTTTAAAGCTCTTGCTGAAGGCAAGAAAGCGTTCACCCCTCCATCCAACCCCACTTCCCACGCTGGAGATGCAGAGACATTAACCTTCAGCTGAGACACCTCCCAGGTCACTTTGTTTCAAGGCTGAGCTGGCTCCTCCACCTCAGCTGAGGACAGATTGTCGTCAGCCACCTGGCATCCTTGCGTGCATCACAGCTGGATTGGGGGCAGTGTATGTCCTACTCCCCTCTTTGCCGGAAACACTGCACACGTTCTCTAAATGCTTCTGCCTCTCTCAGACTTCCTTCCCATGGGAATTTTGCATCTCTACCACTATGGAGATTTGAGTTAGACGAATTGAAATTTCTGGGTACCCTAGGATGCTTAGGCTAGAAGGAAAGTTTAAAAGATATTCTTTTTGACATAGCAATGGAATTATTTTCTTTCATTCTTAAATTAATTGTCAAAGATTTTACAAATAAAATGCTCTTATCTTTCAGGTTGTCCTGCTCTATAATACGAGAGAGAAAAGGCACACTGAGCGTAAGGCAGAGATAAGGAACTTGGCCTGGTAATAGGCATTAAGTGAATACCAGTTTAAGCAAATCAGCTTTGTGAAATAAAATCAAACACCAGTCCTCCAAGGTTGGCAGTAGAGGGGAAGCATTTTGTCCCAGAACTCATTTTTCTAGTGGGTCTCCCACCAGTTAATGCTGCCCCTCTTACAGGTTGCCTGCCTGTCTAGCTCCAGACCCACCTGGTTGTGGTCTCAGGGAGCCTGGCTATTGCAGTAGTCCAGGTAAGAGAGAATTGTGCCTGGGGTTAGAGGGGGAATTGTGGTGGTGGTAGAGATGGATAGATTTGGGAAATAATTTGGAAGTTATATCCCCCAAACTCCAGCCAGGAAGTCAGAAACTGTGCTAGTTACTTCTAACAAAGGGTACTAAATATGGGGAATTGGTTACAAAAGTTTTGGAAAGGCTGAAGAAACAAAAGGGAGAATGGAGGGTGCTGAAGGATTGAGAGGTTAAAGGGGTGGCATCCACTGCAGGTGCTAGAAGTGGAAGAGGTGCTATAGTGGTCTTGAGTGGCTGAGGAGATGCCACACGGAGGCACAGCTGATGTGCAGAGCCCGTCCCCACTGGGGCAGCAACTGCGAGCAATGGCTCCTGCTTCCTTTCTCCCGTCTTCTCGTCTTGCCAGTGCCTCCTGTTGGCAGACAGGGAAATCTGGGAAATCCAGCAGGAAAAAGCAGAGTACAGAAGGGAGTGGGTGGGGCTGAGAGACACCAGATGAATAACTAGTAGAGGTAGAACCAACAAAACTTGGCGATAGATTGGATGTGGGGGGTGAAAGGAAAGAAATCGGGGATGACTCCCAGGTTTTGGGGCTTGAGGAACTGAAGTGTACTATGGAGCCAAATACTGGGTATGGGGGAAAGTGGAGCAAGGATTGCTTGAGGGGAAATTACATTAAAATGCAACGCTGTCAGCCTAACATATGAGATAAACAGGTAGACAGGAGGGGATCGTTTCTTAGACTCTTAAACCAACTGTGATGTTCACATCAGGCTTGAATTGGAGGAGCAGGGACATTTGAGCGCAGGCCTCACTCTGACACCATATCTGGACCAGGGGCTGTGCTCACAAATGGATTTCATTATTGCTCACATTTAACTCACGGGAAAAAAGAAGGGAAACATGATGGAAACTCAAATTCCCCACTAGGGTTTTTTTGTTGTTTTTTGTTAATCCTCACCTGAGGATATTTTTTCCATTGTTTTTCAGACAGTGGAAGGGGAGAGACAGAGAGAGAAACATCGATGTGAGAGAAACACATCGATTGGTTGCCTCCTGCACGCACCCTCACCAGGGTCAGGGGTTGAGCATGCAACTGAGGTAAGCACCCTTGACCAGAATTGAACGCGTGACCCTTCAGTCCATGGGCTGACACTCTAACCACTGAGCCAAACTGGCCAGGGCTCCAACAGGTTTTTAGGGAATAATCAGATTGGCTTCTTTGGCTAGAGCTGAGTGAGACTGAACACTAACAGATACAGTTGCTTCCTATTATTCATGGTAGTTATGTTCTGTAAGTCACCGGGAACGCTGAGTTAGCAAATACTGAACCATGGCTCCTAGGAGTAATGCGGGGTTAGGTCCCTATGTGCCTCTGGTCACATCATCTTCTATCAGCCACTGAGTCATTGAGTTCTCACCACCAGCACTAGGAAGCTCGCTGCAGTGAAGCTTATCTAACACTCCCCATAAGACACACACGGCCCTCTCACACTTAGGACACTACACAGCCCCTCAGAACTATTTATCGGGCCATTTTAAACAGTAACGTCACCACCAATAAGCAAAATCATGCATTGAATAGACCTCAAAAAGGGCACTTTACAGTGTGAGAGCTGAGGCCAGTGGCATAGCGCCACCATAGCCTCGGATTTTCACTGCTTTGAGCCTGTCTGCAAATGATCAGGAAAACATTGCAAACACTGATTTGGGGATTACAAATAAATTTTAGCAAATATGCGAATTCACAAATATGGAATCTTCAAATAATGGGCATCAACTGTACCTCCACCCTAACTTACTGGTTAATGTGTGTGCTTTTTAGCTTTTCTCCTTGCTTCAGCATACACACCATAGCGCTCCAGTGATCATCTTCAGACAGTGTTTCATCATGGGCTCCTCTCTCTTCTTTGACAATCTGTAGTTACTCCCTTTTGGCTACTTGTTCTGTGGCCCTGAGAAAATTCAGTTAATTTCTATGCCTCAGTTAATCTAGCTATGAGTCAGTTACAATAAACACTAACTTAATTCTTAGGGTTGTCCTGTGGGTTAAAAACGTGAAACCATTAAGTGCCACAAAATGTCAGATATAATGATCGTGTTACTAAGTATAAATTTTCAACATGGCCTTTTAAACTTTCCACTGGACTACTCTTCCTACCCTGAAGTCCTCATGTTCCAAATTCTACTCTGTGAACTGCAAAACCAGTCTGCTTGCCATGACTCATGAGTTCTCTGTTTAAACCTTTATGCAGACTCTTTTCCTTGCTTGAAGTATCCCTCACCTCTGCTAATCCTAGGTTCTCAGCACTTCTAAATAAACAAATATCAAACACAAGTATTTACATCTTCATTCCCTCCTTTAACCTTATTTATTAAAATGACAATATAGGAATTCAAAAAAACCAGCAAGGACAAATAGAAAGAAAATGATGGTAGACTAGATAGCATTACAGTGTTTTTCTAAATCATTTTTTTATTTTCCAATTACAGTTGACATACATTATTATATTAGTTTCAGATGTACACTCCAGGGATTAGATACTATGTAACTTACTAAGTGATCATCCCAATAAATCTTGCACCTTGCCCTAGCCTGTTTGGCTCAGAGGTTAGAGCATTGGCCCACGGACAGAAGGGTCCCAGGTTCAGTTCTGACCAAGGGCCCCTACCTTGCAGGTTTGATTCCCAGTCAGGGCACACTCCTGGGTTATGGGCTCGATCCCCAGTCGGGGGCGTGCAGGAGGCAGCCAATCAATGACGACTCTCTCATTCTTGATGTTTCTATCTCTTTCTCTCCCTCTCCCTTCCTCTCTCTGAAATCAATAAAGATATATTTTTAAAAAACCAAAAAACTCACACCCGTCAGGCACCATACATAATTATTAGAATATTATTGACTACATTCCCTATGCTGTCCTTTACATCCCATGACTATTCTGTAACAACCAATTTGTACTTAATTCCATCACCTTTTTCACCCAGCTCCCCACCACCACCTCCCATCTGGCAACCGTCACAATGTTCTCTGTATCTATGAGTCTGTTTCTGTTCTGTTGGTTTTTGTTTTTTAGATTCAATAGTTGATAGATATGTATTTTTTTGCCATTTTATTATTCATATGTTTATCTTTTTCTTTTCAGGAAGACTCTTTAACATTTCTAGTAATACTGGTTTGGTGGTGATTAGCTTCTTTAGCTTTTTCTTTTCTTGGAAACTCTGTATCTGTCCTTTGATTCTAAATGATAGCTTTGCTGGGTAGAGTAACCTTGGTTGTAGGTCTTTGTTTTTCATCACTTTGAATATTTTTTGCCACTCCCTTCTGGCCTGCAAAGTTTCTGTTGGAAATCAGCTGACAGTCTTATGGGAGCTCCCTTGTAGGTAACTGCTTTTCTCTTGCTGCTTTTAAGATTCTCTCTTTGTCTTTAACTTTTGTAACTTTAACTATGTATCTTGATGTGGGCCTCTTTGGGTTCATCTTATTTGGGACTCTCTGCACTTCCTGGGCTTGTATGTCTATTTCCTTCACCAGGTAGGGGAAATTTTCTGTCATTTTTTCACATAGGTTTTCAATTTCTTGCTCTCTTCTCCTTCTGGGACCCCACTGATGCAAATGTTGGTATGCTTAAAGTTGTCCCAGAGGCTCCTTACACTATCCTCATTTTTTTGAATTCTTTTTTATTTTAGTTGTTTTTTGCTTCCTTATATTCCAAATCACTGATTTGATTCTTGGCTTCATCTACTCCATTCTTTTTTCTTTCTTTTTTAAAATATGTTTTTATTGATTTCAGAGAGAAGGAGGGAGAGAGAGAAACATCAGCCAAGGGAGGGAGTCATTGATTGGCTGCCTCCTGCAGGCCTGCTACTAGGGATTGAGCCTGAAACCCAGAACCCGGGCATGTGCCCTGACCAGGAATTGAACCGTGACTTCCTGGTGCATGGGACAACTCTCAACCACTGAGCCACACCTGCCAGGCCATCTACCTCACTTTTGATTTTCTGTAAATTATTCTTCATTTCAGTTAGTGTGTCCTTCATTTCTGACTGATCATTTTTATGCTGTTGAAGTTCTCACTAAGTTCATTGAGCATCCTTATAACCTGTGTTTTGAACTCTGCATCTAGTAGATTGCTTGTCTCCATTTTATTTAGTTCTTTTTTGGGAGTTTTATCCTGTTCTTTCATTTGGACATGTTTCTTTGTCTTCTCATTTTGGCTGTCTCCCTGTGTTTGTTTCTATGTATTAGGCAGAGTTGCTGTGTCTCCTGGGCTTGGTAGAGTGTCTTTATGTAGTAGGTGTCCTGTAGGGCCCAGTGGTACAGCCTCCCCAGTCACCCTGGCTGGGCACTCGAGTTCACTCCTCATCCCTCCTTCCCCCCACGTGGGCTGGGTACACCCTCCTCTTGTAGTTGAGCCTTGATAGCTGTTGGCACATCAGTGTGAGGGATTTACCCCCAGGCTGATCAGCTGCAAGGACTGGCTGTGACCTCTGACCACATGGAAGATCAGCTGTGCAGGGCCCACCCCACCGAGCAGGACTTACTTCAACAGGACTTTGGTATGTTGCTTGTAGAGGTGGTTGGGTAGTGGTTTGACATAGTCTGAAGCTGTCCACTGGGTACGTGGATTCTGGGGCCTCGGGAGGTGCAGGCCAAGGTCAGCCACCACTTGTGTTCTGCCTGGGGCCACCTGGCATGAGCTAC